AAATTGAAAAAAAAATAGGATATCCTCTTCCTCCCCCCACCCCCCCGGGACAATCGTTAGCGTTTCGGTAATCCTGAAATAGAGATGATCACACCACAAGACCGCTCATGTTGCATTTCAAAGCAATGCTACAGTAAAACCTGACAAGGCGACCACTCGGAAAAGGCAACCACCTGTTCCAGAAGACCACTACAGCCAGGACCAAGGGATGCTACTTCCAGTGAAGTGACCCTGGATAAGGAGACCACCTTGTAACAGAGACCGTGCTTAGAAGGTCCCTTGAGCGGTCGTCTTAGACAGGTTTCTCTGTACTTAGTTGTTGCTTTCAGAACAGAAGTCAGAGTTCCAATGAGGGTTATTTGTAGCATCAGGCAAGACAGCAGTGAACAACAAGCCTCCGCCATTTAATACCGGTATCTCCTTCTTTTCCCCATAATATTTCCCTCCCTAGCCGCATTCTTATCGATGCCTGGCCCCGCTCTAGTCACGGTACATTGACCGTACACACACACATGGATCTTACTAGTGCGAAGAGGGGCATCCCGGGCATGGTGTCAAAAGGTATTTTAGTGTGGTGCGGTCAGTGTGGTGCGGTCAGCCATCTCAAGTGCAATCTACTCATGGGGGAGGGGTGGGCGAGCCGATTTTTTTGGGATATCCAGAGCCTAAATCAGTGCATTGGATTGATTCACGGGGTACTTGGGGTAAAGAGTGGTACGCCGTAGTGACCGTACCGTGTCCGACGCCCCCGGATGGATGGAATTACAGGGTCTCAGCGGGGTATGGTCACCCTTCCGTGTACTGTCAAGTGAGAAACTTTCGCTAGAGATTAAATTTCGCTGTTTTCGCAACCATCACACATTCGCGAATACCGTATAAATCGCCGCAAACCTCTCCGTACATTGATTGTAGACAGTACAAGATCCGACTGAAGAGATAGAATCGCAAACGTTTCTCATTGTGAACCGGCCCAATTTTTAAAAAAAACGCCAATTTGCGTGCCGCGAAAGTTTGTCGCTTTGCAGTACACTCTATACCACAACCCACCCCCTGACAATATAGAGACAACGGAGCCAGAGGCATGAGCGGCTACTTTGCATTGGACGAAGACGCGTGTGCCGTGCCAGGTGAATACGTTAGTGGCCGCAGCAGTGTGTCCCGGGCGACACCCCCTGCATCTAACCGAGGCTCACGCGCATCATTCACACTACACACTGCCATACTCCTGGCAATGAGCACTGGGCTTACGCGGCCAGGAGTTGCGTTACCAAGAGCGTGCAGCTGTGATTACAGGTGCAGGCCGGGTGGAACCGGTCTGGCTGGTCAGGTCATGGCCAGATCAACTTTTTAGCCACCAACACTTGTTTCCTGCTGAGACTGAGGGATCATGTATAGTAGTACTGCCTGCCCTCCATACTATAAAACAAGTAATTTTAGGTGCATCAAAATTTCGGTGCCAGGGACCTGCCAGGTTTTCAGGCGTAATGTAGAATTAGGCGACCAGCTTTCCCTTCACATGCAGTGCATACTCTAGTGCCTTTTAGGTGTAATTTAAATTTAGGTGCCTGGTTTCTCTACCGAAATCACCGAAATTGAAGTAACACCGAAAATAACATCATGTTTTGCAGTATCATACAAAGACTGTATGAACGTTCGCCTAGGATATGGCTGGACCGATGAAAAACCGCTTCCGCCGGCCCTGCGTTCAACACACTTACGCTTCGTATCTGACAGTTTGATGAGCTCTGGTTGTTGAGCGGAGCGGTGCCGCAGGTGACAAGGTGGCTGCTACTGCTGGCGTGCCGGAACACCTGCACTTTGACCATCGTGTTCTCGCAGATCGCCCGAAGACTAGCAGGGCAGCCATCCGAAGACTGCGCAAGGGAATGCAAACAATGTAGAAACAAAGGCCAGTGAATGCACACTCGTGACTCTATGCACAAACACGCAAGCGAAGTCGGCCTACAGTCCATTTCAAAACTATAGACGCGTACCTAGGCAAAAACCGTTATGCCAGCATCTATACCACATAAAATCTGTGATCACTTTGTGCATAATTTTTCCAAATTGGGCATCTGTTATCCAATCGTTTAGAAACTATAATTATGGAGCGAAACTGAGCAATATTCCGAAACTATTCTCAAAAAGGTCCAGTCAAATTTGAAAAATTTCAAAACCCTACGCGTCTATAGTTTTGAAATGGACTGTAGCGTTGCCAAACACGTTTTCTTGTGACGTTCACTAGTTTGAGTACAAGTACATCATGTGACGACTGTGAAAGGAAATGCAAACAATGGGAAGTGTGCATCGACGATGGCCACCGTCATCTACTGGTGGGGCAAGTTGCCCCATAGTTTGCAGGTACAACCCATTCTAGTACATTTATGAGCATGACCGTTTATGACCTTGTATGCAGAGCTGGTATCACAGTGTGTGCGACGGTTGTAGTGGACTTGCCTCGCAAAACTTTTAAATTAACGACGGGGAAATTGATGCATTTATACTTAGAAGTGGGACACACTTCAGGCTCTTGAACATTTTGAAAGTTTCGACTAGTTTACGTTCATGCCGTATCATCAGGTGAAATACAGGCAAAATCAAATGAACATGGACAATGGATTAAAATGATGATAAGGCATGAGAGTATACTAGTGAAAACTTTCAAAATGTTCAAGAGCCTGAAGTGTGTCCTACTTCTGAGTAGTGTAAATGCATTCTTGTCTCTAAGGAAATTGATGCATACCGGCGTCACATCTAGAAACAAGAGCAAAAGCTCACGCACGCGGGGCTGCTCTAGCGTTTCCAAAGCAACGTTATCTTGTGGCGTTCATTAGTTGGAGCACATCACAATCGAGATCCAAGGAAGACGAGCAGAAAAGTGGTGAATTTCCAAAAGCAAAACGGTGAGAATGGGACAAGGAAACGTACAGGTCTACCCTCGTTAATACTTAGTAGATAACCCCGGCGGTTTCGGATTGTTTGTCTTATAACGAGTATAGTCTACTATGCGGACATGAATGTACGCGTTTCAGGCGCCAGGGGATTTCCGATCGTTGTCTACTAATGAGGTTTGTCTTGTAACCAATGTCGTACTAACGACGGTAGACATATAACACTAGACCAATCGGACTTATAGTGTGTGTGTGTGTGTGTGTGTGTGTATGTGTGTGTGTGTGTGTGTGTGTGTGTGTGTGTGTGTGTGTGTGTGTGTGCGTGTGCGTGCGTGTGTGTGTGTGTGCATAAAGTCATGAGTGTGCATTTCATCCTGTTCTCAGCTTTATTCAGGTTACATGCATTGTCGCCATGCCGACGATTCAGACACAAGACCTGTCTCATGCTCCAGGCTGCATGAGCATAAAAGAAATCGTTTGCGCATCTGAAAAATGTGCCCTGCACTCCTCCATCCTGGCTGTGGTTTTGGCAGGTAGGCAGACAAGCAGGCAGGCAGATGCTAGATGCAATGAAAACACGGCCCGGCACAGTGCACCGTGTCTATAACTTACAAGTGACACGTAAGCACACACATGCACCCCTCCCCCCCCCCCCCTCCCACCCTCCCCCTCTCATCCCATACCTACTAACCGTTGTACACCTGAGATGGGTACAATGACATGTCTAAAGCTGACGATGACTCCGTAATGAAAATGTTACCAAATGTAGTTGTGAGGCTTGCAAAAAATACACTTTTGGGTGCCTATTACCACCCTGCGATATCGGGACGGTCCCGGCCAAATCGGGATGGTTGCCAGGTATGCATTGACAGATATAGGCACCCAGACAGACAAACACACATACACCCAGACAGACAGGCAGGCAGACAGGCAGACAGACAGACAGACAGAGAGATACGAGTCGTAGATAGACAGATAGATAGATAGATAGATAGATAGATAGATAGATAGATAGATAGATAGATAGATAGATAGAAGACAGACAGACAGACACACAGACAGACACACAGACAGACACACACACAGACACACAGACACACAGACTCACAGACCGACACACAAACATACAAAAGTAGACAGCCAAACCACACAACGGAAGCAAGACGTTGACATCTGCTGAATGGAAATGATTCCTCAGTAAAAACGTCTTCCTTCCGTGGTACTGTAAAACGGGTAACGTTTGCGACAATAAATGTTTGCGTATTACAAATTGAGACTGGTTTGCGCTGTTTAATGTTTGCGAGTCGTTCTACAGTCGTTCTACACAGTCGAGTAACTCCTTGCACTGAACTTTACACGGCGCGAGTTTGCGTTGTTCAAAGTTTGCGATTCGGGGCCTCTCGCAAAATTCGCAAACATGTTTACGTCGCCATAGTAACCCGTTTTACAGTATTCTTCAGCTAGTTACTTTGTCAGCTATGGATTTTCTAGCTGGACATTTGCTGGTGTGTCATTGTTCGAAGGATTAACATCTTGCTAAAAAGACAGAAAAACAGATGGACGGAGGGACAGACAGACATGCACACACACACACACACATGCATGTGCACACACACACACACACACACGCACAACCACACACGGATAATGCTCACCACCACGGAACGGCAGCTGGTTGTGACGAAGCGTTGATCTCCGGTAACGCACAGGTGGCAATCACTCAAGCATTGGTCTCGGTGATAATCATTGCCCACATATACCTAAGACGATTACAATGAACGGGAAAAGAACAGGACGTAAAGAACGAAGACATTAGAGAGGTTCGGCACTACGTAATTGCGTCAGTAAAAACCGTAGTCGTTCTACGAAAACTCTATACGTATACCGCATGCTGATCCGTGTTCCGCCATACAGTGTTTTCGGATCACGTGCATGTAGCTGCCCATGGCAACTCCAGACGTGAAAGTCTACGACCCTGAGCGGGGGTCATAAATGTATCCCCCAATCCACTTATGGAGCACCTCCGCTATCGGAGCCTCACGTACTGTAATAAAGTCAAGAAATTTTTGGCGCATACTCATTTTCGGCTATTTTCGACCTGGGCATATTTGGCCGAAATTTTGCTGCGGTCGAAATTTTGCTTTGCAAGGTTCATTGTGACCGTAAGTACAGGTATCAGCAAGAGTGCATAAACAAGAGTATGCAACTGTGATCTCTTTTCTATGGGCCAGATGCGCGGCGCGCTGCCTTCATTACATCATTCAGCTGCAGTCCGCGCACTGCGGAAAATCAAACACCGCACTTTCCCTCTGGTTTGAAATGAACTTTCGTACGGAACTGGAGTTCACGCGCCAGAATTTAGAGATCGCGTAGGTACTGGAACGAATCGAGCAAAAACGGATGGGCTCGCACGAGAAATTGTGAGTTTGAATGCATGCTTTCAGAGCGTGATGAAGGCAAGTTACTTAATGAAGGCAGCGCGCCGCGCACTGACCCATCACCACAGTTGCATACTCTTGTTTATGCACTCTTGGTAGCAGCAGTACAGGCCGAAAATTTAGTGCGGCTGAAATGTGTTTTAGCCTTGGGAGGCCGGAATTTTAACGGGCCGAAAATTTATAGTTTTTAATACAGTACGTACGCTATGTAGACAACTTCCGCAAACGGAGTGCAAACTCGTGAATTCACCCACGTTCGCTAAGTTTTCTCAACTTTACCTGGCACTGAGCCTCTCTTTGGTTCACTATGTTCTCATGGTGACGGCAAATCTCCTTGGTATGGAGTGGTTTCACATTTGTCACATGACCATACAGGGACAGCCATGTTGGTTCCTACTCCACTCAACCCTTGCATCAATGGGTCACATGATGTCAGCCATGTTGGCTACATCTCCGCACAATAGGCCTAGCGCAAATTTGCTCGGGGCGCTTCGATATTTTGCCGGCAAATTTTGCCCGAGCACTTTCTGTATTTTGCTTGGCATTGCCTTTCGTTTCCGATATTTTGCTCCATTTTGCTCCTGCTTTGTGGCAAAAATGGCTTCGAATGAACCGTCTACTTTGGTAAAAGTGGATGGTGACTCTAATGAGGAAAGCAAAACTTATAATTAAATGGTGTCAGTATTCCGGATTTTGTAGCATGATTTCAAATTTGTGTACCCCTGACAACCTGCACGAGCTATTTCAGCACGAAATTGGCCCAATGAAACCAAAGAAATTTGAATAAAATTGCCAAAACACACCTCGGTCCTCTGTAAATTCGATATTTTTGCTCGGAATTTGCCAGCAATTTCTTTTCGTAGGAAATTTCGATATTTTGCTGGAAGCATTGCCGGCAAATTTAGGGCTAGGCCTACTTTCTGCACAAATTTTGTCACATGACAGACTGATGTGAAACAACTCTAACGGCACCACATGTAAGCGCAACGTTTGATGTATCTAGCGCAGTTGAGCACTCTAACTTTAGTGCTTTGGGTGGAGGGACGGGGTTGCAGAGAGGAAAGGGTGGGGAGGGGAGAGGTTGGGAAGGGGAGAGGTCGGGGGGGGGGGGGAGAGGTCGGGGAGGGGAGATGTTGCAGAGGGCGAGAGGAGAGCAACACTGAGAAAGAATACCGTATACACTGACCCAATGCTGTGTACACATACAATAAACCTCACCTCCTGTTCAATCTGCATTGTTACGGCGTTAATGCGATACAGGACATTGCTGCAAGGTGCAACACAAGGACACAGTCATAGGAACAACTCACATTCTTCTACTGCCGTCAATGAATCACACTATTACATGGCCACCAATATTTCAGTCCTGGCCTAAATACTGGCATGGCCAACAGCATCCGTATGCTCTAACCACTGGGCTATGTATGGTGTAGCTGTCATCCCAGCAGAGACCGTTCAACATTTTCTTCAGACTTCGAAATTCACGCTCCCTGTGAATCCACACATATACTTGCGCTACCATGCAGTTGCTTCCAAAATACCCACACCAACACCTGTAGGAGCTTGCACACACACTCTTAGCCTCACACTCACTCCCATACCACGGCTCACACGTTCACACACACACACACACACACACACACACACACACACACACACACACACACACACACACACACATATATATACATAACACATACACTCCCCCCCCCCCCCCCCCCCCCACACACACACACACACAGCTCTACTCCTAGTGAAACTGGACCTTAAATCACGATATCCCACTCTTCCTTCATCCATTACAGGGGCGTCGGAAGGTATTTTAGTGTGGTACGGTCAGACATCTGAAGTACAATTCATCCGTGGGAGAGGGGGGGGGGGGAGGGATGGCTGAGCCGAAAATGTTGGAAATTTAGAGCCCAGGTCAGTGCATTTTATTGATCTACGCCGTGACGGGGTACTTGGGGCAAATAGTGGTACGGTCAATACCGTAGTGACCGTACCGCGTGCGACGCCCCTGTCCAACTATACGCATAGAAGTACGGTATTTCCCCGGGGGACATGCCACGCTGGAGTATAAGCCACGGCCAGATTTTCGTCACGAAACACAGGCATCTACCCCGTATGCAACCATTCACTTGACCATCGTAGTATATAGGCCACACTGAATATTGAGGGTGGATTACAAGAGTTTAAAGTGCGGCTTAGGATCCGGAGAATACTGTACGTGCAATGGACTAAGCTTACGTTCCGCCGGCATAAATCTTGTCCAAAACTATGTCATAGTCGACAGAAGTGAAATTGAACAAGGGCCCGGAGCAGGTCACCCGCGTTGTGCTTTCACCACTTGAATCTAAAGATAGCAGAGAAAGACGGAGAGGAGAGTCAATGTGCGTGCGTGCGTGCGTGTGTGTGTGTGTGTGTGTGTGTGTGTGTGTGTGTGTGTGTGTGTGTGTGTCAGACCACGGCATGGGCCAAAGAAGCGTTGGCGAGACACGATTGTCGGTGATCTGTGCTCGCTGGATATTCCGGAGTCCGAGTGGTATCGGCTCGCACAAGATCGCCCGGAATGGCGCAGGCGGGTCCATCAACATCGTCTTCCTCCCCCGGCACCGAAGGACTTTCATTGCGCATGCGGCAGAGCGTTTAGGAGAAGTGGCGATTTGAAGCGTCACATCAAGTACTGCCCAACTCAGTAGCCTATCATCTCCACTGGAGATGGGGCGTCAAAGGTCAAAGGTGTGTGCGTGTGCCTTGCAAGCTGTTGAATGGTGCAATCTCAGGACAAGATGCTATGTCTAACATAGCTGTTCGCTATCATCATCGCTTCCGCGATGGGCAGGTCTGAGGTCTGAGGTGTGTGTGTGTGTGTGTGTGTGTGTGTGTGTGTGTGCGTGCATGCGTGTGCATAGTGCATGAGTGTGTTTCGGAGCAATTAGATTGGACCTGCCCGGTCCATGCGTAGCAAAAGATAAGAAGCCTTCGTTTTCCTTTTTCCAGAACGATTTTTTTTTGCTTGGGGTAGGGTGGATTCTAGGAGCTTCGTTTTGAAAATAATCATTTTTAAAGATAGCACTAGTGTGGACAACTACAGTGCTGGAAACTGAAATCCGACCCCCTAGCGGTGCATCCACATTCTAGTGGTCTATGTGTCGTAGTTTTACCATCCCGTGCTGGGTCTTTGCGATGTGAGCGCACCGCTCAGGAGATCGGATTTCAGTTGCCAGCACGGTACGTAGTGAAACAATAAATATTACCAAACAACAGTGTCGACCACTGTGCTACAATGCCAAGACACTGACAACTTTCGCACATACTTCTTTTGCACACACAGTTCAGGTTTCAGCTTGGCAATGTACGCTGCCTCCGGCGGGAAAGTAATTATTGAATGCGCATGGAGAGATGGTCCTGGGTGACGAAAAATTGAAATCACTATTTTTTTGGACTTCGTTTCACCTGCAGAGAGAGTTGGTGGGTGGGTGGTGGCTCAAAAATACCAAACCTTTTTGCTTTAAAGGGGAAGTGCATCGATTTTTTCAAGTAGGGCTCAGATGAAAGACAATTTCATATCGGTTCCGATGGTATATCTCTCGCCTCCGTACGATATTGCAAACTTGCCATATCGCCGATTTTCTGATTGCGTTTCCATGGCGACTACAGGTGATGACGCACATTCTGCTTAGCTCCGTGAGAGAGAAGGTCGATCACTGCAGAATTGTGTCATTTTCAGTTGTCTTATTGTATTCACGAAGTGAAAGAAGTGATGTGTTCAATGCTGTTAGTGCTGTGACCTGTTTATTAGTAGTACCTATATTGGCTCACCATCCGAGTTCAATTATTATTATTATTATTATTATTATTATTATTATATTTTACTAGGGTGTTTCCCACAGACATATGGTCTTCTTACGGGAGCCCCTAGAACATTGGCTCAATATCCGAGTTCAATTTTCACACACAAACGTGTGGCATTTTCGCGCATGACCATGGGTCCACGCTTACATGTCGACTTGCCCATGTCTGATGTGCCATACTACTGGCCATCCCCATCCGCTTTCCACGACCAGCATGCAACACGAGATCAAGTACAGTGCACAACAGCAAGTACATGGTAGAGTAGATGCAGTGCACGCCAGGTACATGGGTACAGTCTGTATCGGCTATAGAGTGACCGGATATCAGAATAATATCGGCTACAGTGATATTGGTACGAAAATATCAAAAGCAAAACGTATTTTATCCAGTACAAATATCACTACAGGTGGAATCCTGATAATTCGAATATTGCTTAATTCGAACATACCGCTTAATTAGAAGTTTTTCCAGGACCGCGTACATATTGAGTTGTGGGTTCATGTTTGGATAATTTGAATGTCCGGATAATTAGAAGTTTTTTCCTGGCATTTTGAGGTTCGAATTATCAGGATTTCACCTGTATATTGTGTGACTATAACCAATATTATCGGGTGTAATGATATATCGGATATTATGATGTCAACAAAGAATCAAAACATGCATAACACACTATATTATTATCGGCTATAGTGATAACTTTAAAAGGGGGCAGCCTACCCATAAATTTCATATGGCATTCAATTGACCGTAACTTTCGTGTTTCTCAATAGATTTGAGTGAAATTTTGACCACACACTCCTGCCACTATGCTGGCCCTCAGGACATGATTTACAAGTTCTTGCGCCTCACTGACAGGCTTTCCAGGCCGGAAAAACTCAAATTTCCGGCATAGTGCCACGGTGTGCGAGCCACCCAGGAGCCAAACCATGCATTTACATTTTTTTCACATTTTCGTGCCCATTCTGTCCGTGCGCGGGACCCAAACCTAAAACAAGTCCAGAAGCAGCCATGGGTGGTGGGGTAGGGCCCTTCAACGTGGCCCTGCAATCTGTCACAACGGAACAAGTGGGCGTTCTCTCACAGACTCCCACAGACCCAAGTCAATTTTTGAATTTTTTTTAGGTTTAGCACGTGCTACGAGGTCGTACCTTTGATACAACATCCAGTGCTGGGACCTCCACAGCAAGCCATTTCCACAGCGCTGCACACCAAATCCAGGATACCCTCAGAAACCGGCAAAGACTACCACTCACGTTCCACTGGCACTACTGCCTAGTACTGACTGAATCCTACCTGACTTCTTGACTCGACTCAAACTTGCCAAAGTCACTAAATCAACGTCAACTACAATAATCAAGCCACATATCTGCAACGTCACGAGGGTGCTGGCAAAAGTCCTGCTGCACGTGGTTTTTTAACGTGATTTTTTGGACTTTTTTGGACTTGGAGCAAAATTCTGCATACTTTCGCGTGTTTCCATGATACGACAAGTTGCGCACGGTCTGCTCACATTCAAATACAGTGCTGCCAACAAATGACAGCGTGCAACAAAAAAATTCTTTCCTTGCAAGGGCACATTTTCGGCCATAACTCTTGAACGGCTGGTCAGATAGGGACACAATTTTCAGAGAATTTGCAGCTATTCATGCTCTTTCAACTGACGTAGCACTCAAGATGAATTTACAAATTCGATTTTTCAGCGAATTTTTGGGTAGTCTGCCACCTTAAAATACATGTAGCAATAATATCAAGATTATATAAGGCCAAGTAAAAAAATGGATTGTTTATCGTCCGCGCCCGCCCCAAATTTTCACCCTCCCCGCCGAATTATTTTATTTTTTAGTACTGGTAAATGTACTGTATGCGGTCGACAGCCTCTAATCGGCATGGCCGTAGATTTTCGAAGGTCAAGTCCACAGACTGAACCATAACTCAGTTGCTATGGGCTTGAAAAGTGAAACTGATCATAAGCTGCCTGATTTTCTTCGTTCTTTTCTACGTAACGTTGGTTGTTCCACTTTCCATTATCCTCTGGGGTTGCAAACACCTGCCCTACAGCCATAAATGCATAATAAAAAATAAAATTAAAAACCTCTCGTCCGCCCCGATTTCTCGGAAAAATCTGACGTTAAACAATCAATATATTTTACATGGCCTAACCCCCAATTGTGTGTGTGTGTGTGCAACTCCAGCTATGGGGTCTGCGACGGCAGAACTTCACATCACGTGATGAACCCGTACACATTATTTGCACTCTGTGCATGATAGATACAGGGTTGTACGCAGCCCAGCTTTGGGTACAACTCTCTTGTGGTCACTTTGCAGTTTGCACTGTTTGCCAGCATAACCTTTTGAACCATGTCATGTGATGTGAAGTTCTGCCGTCGCAGCACAGCATAGAGGTTGTGCAGGCAGTTGCACACTCTTGGCCTTGGGGTTATGTACTCTTGATAATATCAAAGGCCCTATTTTTTACTTTCTTCACGTTGCTTATTTTTATAGTGATACATGTACATGTACATAACAGAATTTTTGTATGGAAATGCGGGCACTGTCAACTATGCAGCATGCTCATTTGTCAAAACGCCATGCTGGAAGACTGTATTTCCTTGCCTTTCAAGTGTCGATCGAAAAAAGAAAAAATCGATCGTATCGCATAATTATTAGGGCTCAAACGGTCACGGTTTTACCCCTGACGGTTAACTGCTAAGCTAACGGTCGGTTAACCGGTTATAACCTATAAGCCACGGCAATCCTACGGACTCTTTTTTAACCGTATATTTGACTATACTCATTCAAAAAATGTACCCTATTCAGTACAACGCACACTTGTACATTCTCTTGCATGCTCATTCATACATACTCTCACACCAAGAGACCAGATATGGCCGAGTTGACAGCCCAGAAATTGCGTACGCGTGCGACTGCCCGCGAAAGTGCACACTTTGCAACGACCTGATACTTGAAAAATTGACTGAAAAGTTACTGCGTAACCGTTATCTTTATCGGTTAACCGTTAATTCTTCGTAACCGGTCTGCAACCGGTTAATCGGACTAATCGTTTGAGCCCTAATAATTATAGAGATGCATCGGTTATAGTGATAAAATCACGGAAATCAAAAGGGTACGCTATAGCCGATACAGACTGTACATGGCTACAACTACAAGTACAAGGAGAAAGCAATTAGTTGCCAAATAAGGCCCAGAACGCACCTGTTGAAGAGGTTCTGGTGCAGTTCGGTAGCTGGGCGAACACTTGCTGGCCGGCTGCTGCGACCAGGACTAGAAACAAGGAAACTCCACAGAACCCTGCCATGTTCCGTGTCCAACTTCTCTTCTCGCGGCACACAAAAGTGCGACTCCCACTCAGCTGAGGAAGTGGTCAGCTACTATAAGAACTACTTCAAGCGTCGTAGAGATCTGGACGACAGGCAGCCCAGAATTATTGTTCCCACCAATAGGCAATAGTCAATACATTGTTCCCACATACGGTACATGTGCGTGAAAAGGAAACACATGCAATTCGAATATCGCCTATCCTGCTCGTGGCATGCACATTTTTTCAGCAAGCCACAGCTTTTGCTTGCAGCAGCAGGCCTGCTGTGCAGGAGTTTCTTGGCGCTTTGGTGATGTGGGAGTAGTACAACATTGTACCAGTCCACTGCAAACGCCCACTTCGCAGCAAACGCCCACGTCCACTCGGTGCACCCAAGCCAAGGCCAATGCGCCCCAGCACAGTAGTGAGTAGAGTCAAGTCGAGTGAACTCCCGATCCCGGTGCCGAAAGGCGGGCTCACGCCCCTGCATGTATACAATGCATGGGCCTACATGCATGGTCACTTCCCCCTTGTCTAACCACCAAGACGAAAATTATAGCCGACTGGCCGAAATAAAATAAAAAAATACATACGAGGTGATTTGGCTTTTTTAACATGGTTGTAAAATGACGTTTTTCAGTCACTTCTAGACAAGCTACGTCCAAATGGAAGTGGAAGTGCTATCCTTCATGCCCGTTGTGTCCAAAAATGGGAATGATCCCACTTTGGAAAGTGTCTTGAATCATGTCCTACTTTCATAGTATTCTCAGGATTCAAATAATTGGTGTGTCATTTTTTAACAAATTGTCAAATGTCATAACAAACTGGGATATCCGGTCATCAATGTTCTGAAGTTGATAGATGTCACTTCAAGGATTGCTAGTGGATGAAAATTAATCTGTCAACAGAGGAGTGAACTGCATTGTATGCTGCGAAAGCCGTGTTTTTGTATTGGCTGTGTTATACGGTGGAATTGGATAGGTAGCATAGCATCGCAGCCATGTTTTCGTTCTCACAGAGTGTATTCAGTGACCTAGTGTTATTCGTTACTGTCTCTAGTGATGGCAAGACGGCCTGACGTCGTCCAAAGGCCCTGAGGAAGCAATTCACTGCCCTCCTCGTAGGGTCCCGCGGGTTCTGCCGGCAGAAAAATTGGCAGAATTCGGTACTTTTTCTGGTAAGTTTCATGCATGTTTGGTATGTGGATAAAGAAATGGAGCAGAATTCGAGGAATTGCCCGCCAAAAGGTTTGTATGGTTCTGCCAATTTCACTGCTTTTCGAGCAGAATCTGCCACCTTTTCGAGCAGAATCCGCCGGTCCCTTCCTCCTCGTCCATTCAGGGGCTCATTTTACACAAAATGGCAAAGCACTCACCACTAGTTATACCGACGTGGCAGGGAGAATTAAATTATATGCACCAAATTTTCTAGTCAATGTTGATCTACGATAAACTGGCTCTCATTTGCCACCACCCATATACAGCCATCCGCGCCGGAGCAGAGAAACAGCCAGAACAAAAGCAAATTTTACACATTAATTTTGTTAAAAAATGCCAAATGTTTAAAAAAAAGCCAAATCACCTCGTACCGGGTAATTATTTTGAAACTCGGGTGTCATCAGAACAATATTACTTTATCATTTTGGTCATCTTTTGTATTTTCATGACATGATTGTATCGGTTTATTAATTTTGCCCGTACAAGAGGCTTCAGATCAGGATGTCGAATGTCTTGGGCTGTGTTTACATGAAGCGTTTCAACCCGGGTTGAGTTCGACCCGGGTCAGATTTGTGTAAACTATTATTTTATCAGTGCTATATTCTCCCTATATTCGACTATTGCGATACCGCTTGGTGTGGCCTTTCTGACACAACTCTGAGCCAATTAGAAGTCCACCATAGATTTATACTTAAAATTCTTTACAACAAGGATCGATGTTTTCCTTCGGATGCCCTTTATCGACTTGCACACACTTCTCCTCTCTCCGTTCGTCATAAGCACCATCTCTGTACACTGGTTCATAAGATATTTCTTCTTAAAACCCCTTCACACATGATGAAGTACAATTGGTTTTCGACAAGCTCAACCCGTAACGCGCTCACCCTGCCTCTTGTTAAGTCAGCCCAGTATCTAAAGTCCCCTTTGTTTTCCGGCTACTCTCATTGGTTATCATTACCATACGGTCTGAAAACTTGTTCTTCTATTGGTCAGTTTAAAGATCTACTATCACAACTGAACTAGACGCAATAATTATCATCGAAGAACATTCTCGAATACCTGGGTGATGCACGCATTTTGATAGTGCTCACTTCCGTTAATCGTTTTTCTTTGTAATTTTCCATTCATTTTCTGCTTTAATTCATATTTGCTTTGTTTTCCTGTAAGTCTGTTTCAAAAAGATTTACAATCAGGTTTGGGTCTTAAAAAGTATGAAGATAAGGGAAATTTGGACAACAAAGTACATAGAATGGCTTGTTAGGACACGGCAAATTGTTCTGTGAAGGTTTCGGAACAATTGGACCAACCGTTAAGGAGTTAGAATTTCGGCCAGGTTTCCGGCCTTTTCCCATGGTTTACAATTTGCCCAGGAAACCAGTATCGATTTTTTATCGAAACCCACGATTTATCCTTTCCTTTTTGGCCTTGTGGTTATGAATGCTGTCTGCTGACCATGAAGTTGTGAGTTCAAATCCCAACCTATCCTCACGTCAAACCTTTTTTCATTGTTTTGGTGATCAAGCTGGTACAAGACAAAGAAGGTGGCTGCACCAAACGACTTGTTGTTGGAGCTCGCGCTTCCTGCCAAACTGACTGACACTTGACTGGCTCACGCCATGTGAACACACCCACAACACTGCAATGGTGTGAGTGAATTATAATGGAAGTCATCGCGCTGTAGCTTTTTGAGATTTATTTTAGTATTTCAAGATCGCCAATTTATTTCAATTTAGCAGTCAACGCCGTCTTCTATCAGCGTTCACAAGCGTTTGCTTTTCTCAAAATGTCGTCGAAGTCACACGGATAGCTTTGCCAAGTCATGGCCTTGGGAATGAGTCCGTGTCGATGTCGTTTTCGTCACACGGTGAGTAAATTGCATCGCAGCTCAAAGAAACTATTTTGGTCACAAAACGGACCCATGCAGCTCGTCAACATTTACAACACTTTCGTTTCGACATGTCCTCTCTGACTCCATTATCGATACGAGGAAGAACTCGTTTGTTGTAAACCAGACGTACGTCCATGACTGTGTCAACGTGAGTGAGTTGTCATTTTTCCTGCTTTCGCGCGGAATATTTCTTCGAGTTCACAGTGAGTTTTTCCAGGCAGCGCTCGAGTGCTCATACGGTAAGACGCCAAACTCCGCGGGCGATCGCCAGGGTTGTAAATCTTTTTGAAACGGACTGTAGCTTACTATTGCCGTGGCTGGCTCAACGCCCTTTTCTCAGGGGATTCTGTCCCTGCATTAGCTATGCTTGTCACATGCTATGAGATTGTGTCTAATAACAATAATAATAATTTCAACCCGCCATGTGCACAAAGTGAATGGCGCGTTTACATGACGCATTGCGCTTGACCCGGGTTGAAATTTCGCCCCGGGTTGATTTCAACCTTCCCCCCAAGGGGAGGGTTGAAATCAACCCGGGTCAAGAAAATCGTACAAACGTATTTCTGTGCGTATCTCGCGCCAGGTTTGAACGGCACTGCAGATGCAAATTTCGCGCGAACGGATTCACGTGACCATACAGGACTGTAGTGTAGAAGTGGACTTTTGGCGGCATATCAGCCTCAAAACACAGCCTCAGTACGAGTTCGTACCTACATGTAGCCGGTACTCGTACCAAGAGTTCATAAACTCTTGAGATCTTGCTCGTACTTGTCAGTTTTGTGTTGTTGTCGCACTTTCTGACTGTATATGATTATTATTATTATTATTTTGCTTGTTCGCGTTGGCATCAACCTGCATAAAGCAGGTATATAGCCTTCGCTTAAGCTGCCATAAAAAAGAAAGCTCATCCTAAGCGAGAGGGCTAGAGGGAAATATACCGATAACGAGATACAGAATACAAAGAAATCCAATGAGTTCAATGTACAATTCAAAACAAGAAAGAAAGGAAAGAAAAACAGAGCCGAATCTACCGATTGATCCATCAATCGACAAAGGGGACTAATCCGTTAGTGTTGCAAAGTAGAAGCTGATTATAGTTGCAGATCTCCAGGCCAGGGCCAGCATATTGCCGATTCTGGATAGGTCTCCGCAGCATTTGATGTGGTAATTATCATAATGTTTGATAAAATTGTTAGAGTATCTAGTATCTAGAGTATCTAGTGTAATTGTATCCGTTATTATTGTTAAGGGTATCTAGTGTAACTGTATCCGTTATTATTGTCAAGGGTATCTAGTGTAATTGTATAACTTCAGCCATTACACACAGCACACATTAGTTCCTTCCACTTTCGACGATCCTGGGCGAGCTGCCTCAGTGCAACTAGATCCTCGTGTGATGTGAGGGAGTTTGTGGATCTGGAATTTTTCAGGTCGTTGTTGATGGATCGCGGGAGTGTTGTTCTCGGGCGGCCTCGGAACCCTGAGCTTCCTGGCTGAAAGTATGCTGACATAGCCTGCTGGACCGGGGATGAGGTGTCTAGTCGAAGCATGTGGCCAAACATTCTCCACCTAGCAGACTGGATGATTCTGCTGAGTGGCTTGGAGCCAGTGCGCTTGTACAGTGCTTCATTGCGTATTATACGGGGATATTTGACCCCTATGACTGCTCGTAACTGCTGGCGGTGGAACGAGTCAAGTTTCTTTTCTTGAGTCTCTGTCAGGCTCCATGTGCCGCAGTTATAAAGAAGTATTGGGAGAATAAAGCTGCCGTATAACCTAATCCGAAGGGGTTCACGGGCATGGTTACCTCTTAGCCATATCACCCACAGCTGATGTAAGGCGCATGTTGCTAGACGTTTTCTCCGACTGATATCTTCCTCCACTCCAAGCATCGA